TATTACAGGTAAAATACTGTAAGTTGGCACTTGGCTCCTAGGTACAAAATGTGTATTCGTCGTCTAGAAAACATCAGACCCTATCGCCATCCCTCGTTGGGATCATAAATCGCAGCTTGCCCACCCCGACCCTTAAGACAATCCTATTAGCACGCTTCTGTGCACGCCCTAGTTAAAAACACAATAATATCAAGGGTGCTAAAATTTAGATTTTAAAATCGCTCTTATGTTATAAAATTATTTAAGAAAAATTTCTGTTTTTGTCCCATTAAAATCGGATTATTTTAACGGGATTTATAATGTTTGAATTGTTAGAAAATACTTATTTCCAATAAAGTTGCATTAAAACTCAGCGTATGCAAATGTTTTCAATATCCAAAATAAATATATGTATCACGAGATAGATAATAATATATAGTAGTTAGTTTTATCCTTAACAATATTTGAGTATTATCACGTTTTACATAATCGTGAAGCGAAAACCAGTTTGATTTACATATATTTCTGCATAATTGAAAAAATCAATCACGCTTATGATCGGATGGAAAATTTGTTTACCAAACAATAAACTTATGAAATATTATTGAAAAAATTATTTACAACTCACCGCCGGCGTTTCACGTGATCCTTCCTGACGGTAAATTCCAATGTTGTGTAAATCTAGTGCAGCTCTTCAATTCCAGACATCTCCGCATCCGAGTCGTCTGGTCCTGCGTCTTCGCTGCTCTCATAGTCGCTTCCGACGTGGATGATAAAGGATTCAGTTATGTCATCTATCGCTGGTTCCCTGGCGGAGTATTCATTTTCTGCATTCTTAATATGGTCGCATTTTCGTTTCCATTGGTCTGGGCCAATCGTGGAAAACTTTTCTTTGCAGAGCTTTTGTATGTCTGGGAGTTTGAATGTTGTGTTGTGTGTAGCAACATAGTTTTTAACGTCTGCCCAAATCATTTCGATAGGATTAAGATCTGGATGATACGGCGGTAGGCGTAAAACGGTGTGTCCTTTTCCCTTTAATAACTCATCCAACTGATATCTTACAAATCTATCCTTGTTTCCGACGATGATTTTGTACAGCTGTGGCTTTAGCATTGACTCTTCAAAAGGTATATTTTTATCTGTTAACCATTTGGTCATCTCATCTTTTCTGCTGTTAGACGTGGGAGCTTTGTCAATTTGCTTATTGTGGTAGTTAGCATTGTCAATTACTAGAACAGTGTTAGGTTGTAAGTTAGGAATTAGCTGGTTGTTCACCCAGTTCATATAATTTATAGTATTCATGTTGTCATGATAATCTCCTGATTTTAAGCCAGCCTTCCACATTGCAAGCGCATTTGGGACGAAACCATTTTCTCCGCCAGCGTGTACAATAATCAGCCGATCGCCTTTTGATATTGGAGTATGCACGCCGTTTGATGTCCCATCAGACCATACTTTATTTGCGAAGTGAGAGGTGCAAACATATGACTCATCCATATACACAATTGGGCGATTCTCAGACCTGTACTTTTTAATTGATTGTAAATAAGATATTCTTTTTTCCCTGATATCGGATTTTTCAACTAGTATTCTCCTGTTATTTTGTGCCCGTTTCCACTTAAAGCCAAGTTTCTTCAATATTTTTATGACGCTTGACACGCAACCGGTAAAATTAATTTTTTCCTTTAAAGCACTTTGCACAAGTTTTGCAGTTGGAAGGCGTTTCTCAGTAATATAAAAATCATAGACGATTTTACGGACTACACATTCGTCAAAATTATCCAAATCTGTAATTGGTTTTTGGCGTTTCCTATTTTTATTTGAGGTCAAAAACGACTTTGGTTCATCTTCACTTACTTGTAATACAGTCAGCTCCTTGTTTATTCGAGTAACAGATCTGATTGATACACCTGTTGCTGCTGCGGTCCTATCACGTGCCCTCTTCAATGGAATGTTCGGAGTCCCACTAACACTTTCTTCTTTCATAAATTTGTAGACGTTACTTACGATTTCCCTACTTTGACTATTTAACACTTTACCACATATCCCTACTTTTGTCTTAATATCTGCCATGTCCGTGTATTACCTAGCTCGTAATCCGTAAAATCAATAACTTATAGAAACGAAAAAAATCTAAACTGACTAAATAAAACTGAACTATGTACTAAGTCCTATCGCTACCACATTCGATACACCACTTCGCACAATCGAGGTAAGTTGACGTGCTCGAAGGTCAGGTACAACTAACTGGCTAATCGGATTTGCAAACAACCATCCCGTTATTTTGCATGCGTTAGTGGGCGTCAACCCATGAGTAAGCGAAAATCCAAGAAGGGCGATGTCTTTAGAAATGACCTGCCAGCCCCTCTACCCACCCCTCACCCTCGGCATCTCACCGTGCCTCGTAGCCCCCGCGCGCCACCTTACAAAATTTCACCTGTAATTAACAGCTGTGTCACAACATATTCCTTAGACACAGGCTGTGTCTAAGGAATATGTTGGCCTTAGTCACTAACAAGACTACATGATCGGCGCGACTCATCCTACACTCATCTCCATTCATACTTACTTACTTACTGCTGGGGCGCTACAAATCGCAGTCGATTCTTCGCCTCGTAGATCAGCCTCTTCCACGCTTCTCTGTCCGCTGCCATCTCCACTGTCCCTCCACACTGACTCACATCTCTCTTAACTTGGTCATACCTATAGTATATATCAACTACATGTTTCATAATCAATGTTCTATGTTGGCAATAATAAGTAAAAATAAATCATATGTTATTATTAATAATTAAAGTGTAAATAAGTTAACAACAACATTAGTCATTTTTTGTATCAATAAATCTTTTCAAATGAAGCAACGTTTTCAATTATTAACATCTAATGTTAATACAGGTCTAATGTGTTTAGAAGTGAGATACCTCTGTAGTTTGAGCAAGATTGTTTGTCACCTTTCTTATGTAATGGGATTATTATCGCTTCTGCCCACTCCTCTATTTCATTATTCCATACATTTGTTAAAAGGCTATGAATTTCTTTGATTAGGACTTTTCCACCACTTCTAATTGCTTCCGTTGTGATTCCGTCCTCTCCAGGGGCTTTATTGCATTTGAGTAACCTAATTGCTTTTTCTACTTCCTGTTCTGAGGGTGGTAAAACATTTGGTTCAACGTTGTGGTAGCTTAGATTTTCTTCTATGTCTCTAATTGTCGGTTCATCACATTTAGAAGTTCTTCAAAATAGTCTTTCCATACTTTAATGCCTGATTCGTTATCTACTACTACATTTCCACTTTTATTTTTAACTCCATAGGTTCTTGCAGAGAAACCACTTTTGAAAAGTCTAATTGTTCTATAAAAATCCCTGGCGTTGTTCGTGGTTCTGTTGTTTTCTGCTTTGGTCAGTTTTTGCCTCTCCTTGAATTCTCTTCCATTGTTTTTGGACAAGATTTGGTTCTGTTATAGGTGGTTCTGCGATTTCATGATTCTGTATTTCATCTCCATTCATACTTGGCTTAAAATACCTACTTTGTATGGTCGCCATTTCATAAGAAAGTATTAAAGTCAGTTTGGTCAGTTAATCACACTTTTGTTTGTTATTTTCATTAGGTTGTGGTAAGCTGTAAAAAATTTAAGCCACATCCTCACCAGCTAAAATAAGTAGTAGTGCAGTTTTCCTTACATCATTGCCCATTGGTAATGTCTGCAGCTAAAGCATACCTCTCAAATTGCTTAATCCACGTACCCCAATGCTGTGCGGAACTTGCAGGATTGGTATGGAGGTCAAAAGGATCAGGCTTATTGAGATCCATTATCCAATTATCCTCGTCGCCAGTTTAGTAAATTGAAACATAATAATTAACAAGACCAGATTTATTGAACTCACAAATCAGACTAAACTAAAAAGTAAACAAAACATAATAATATAAACAGTCATCTGACAGATGTTATAAATAAAACATATGGACTTATTTCTTGACACATAACAGTAAACTAGGATTGCTTTCAGAGCAGTGAAAGCCAGTTGAGCGGAGCAATCATGTTTAACAGTTTTTTTTTTATCAGATTACAAACTGTTATGCAAATATGAGAACATTAAGTAAAACATTTAACAAAACAATGTCAGGAAGCAAGCACCTGTTCACCAACAAGTCTTGCCAAAAATTGGGTCAATCATTTAAATATTTACAGAAATCTGTTTAAAGTAATAAATGAAAAATGTTTATAGATATAATACAAAATACAAATGTTCCCACACTCTGCACTGCTAGCCTTTACTACTTCTTTCACCAAGCCTACATCGTGGACCTGTTTCCATCCCTTCCCATAACATTTTAGGATTGCCGATACGGATACATATTAATCTAACTGCCACAAAGGGTTCCCACACCATTAGCATTTGTTACTTCCTTCACCACTTACTACGTTGTGGACCTGTTTCCCTCCCTTCCTAGAGCATTTTAAGATTGCAGATACATTAATCTAACTGCCACATACGGTTCCCACACACCGCACTGCTAGCCTGTCCTACTTCCTTCATCGCTTCCAAAGTCATGTACCTGTTTCCCTTCCTTCCCATAGTATTTTAGTATTTTAGATACGTTAATATAACTGCCCCAAATCGTTCCCAAACTCCGCACTGCTAGCCTTTACTATACTTCCTTCACCACCTCCTACATCATGGACCTGTTTCCCTTCCTTCCCATAGCATTTTAATATTTTAGATACATTAATCTAACTTCCCTTAAAGCGTTCCCACACTCTGCACTGCTAGCCTTTACTACTTCCTTCACCACTTCCTACGTCGTGGACCTGGTTTCCTTCTTTCCCAATAGCATTTTAGTATTAGATATATCAATCTAACTATCCCACACTCTGTCCTGCTAGCCTTTACTACTGTTCTTTATACTTAGTTGAGACTCTGGCTCTGGTCTACACTCACGAAACTATTTTCCTCAGTAATTTACCTAATAAATGACTTCCTCATTGTGGTAATGATTGGTGTTGGTGTGATGATTCTAGGAGAAATACGTCTGGTGCGCCCATTACGAGAGCTAGCTTCCATCTCTCGGCCCCACCAGCCTGTGTTGCTACGAGTGGTGGCCGAGGAAGTTGTCACTTCTGTGGACGAGCCTCAAGCCATGGCTAGTGAGGCTACAGTGGCTCTCTTGGTGGCTCAACTAGACAACTCTGCTCCATACTTCAAATCAACTCAGTAAGTATTAAAGATTTCCAAAATCACCCCTGTTACAAAGTATATTGGGAATGTCTTTTTCACATTTAAACATCAAGTTTGGAGGAAATGTTTTGTTTTACTACTAACAGTAGGCCTAATAACTAATATGTGTATGTGAACCTGAAATGCCATTTTACGTGGCCAATTCCGAGAAATATTGAGTACCGATTAAGATTCAAACCATTTGGATTTGACTGTATTCACTGAGTTAATGAAAATGTTTTTAGCTTTTAAAATATGGCCCAACTACTTAGGAAATAAAATAACTAACGTTCAAAATCCCAATTTTGTGCGATTATTGTCACATTTCCTCCCAATGTTTACTAGATACGTTATTTATCAAATACTAGATCATCTGTTAAAAACATAATCTATGAAAGATAACTAATCGGGAAAACAAAATATCCATGTGAGATAAATCCGTGTGACATATTTGCGAGGAATTTTGTTTGGATTAAAACTGTCAGATAGTATGTTTGTGATCAGGGCCGGTTTAACCCATACGCGAACTACGCGGCCGCATATGGCGCCACGAAAAAGTGGCGCCGTGGTGCCAACGGAACAGTTTTCTTTTTGCTTCAACAACGTAATTTTGTTTATTTTTGCTCAGAGTTCTTATACCACAATAGAGGCATTTATTTTGTTTGTACCAACAGCACTTGAAAAATGTGTATATTTGTACAGCACTACAACTCAAGGGCTCAATCCCATTTGCAGTTTCGATTTGTAGTGAGCTGACGCTCGGCAGCGTACGGTGCGGCGCCTGATCACAACAAGAAACTTCCCCCTCCCTTCCCTCCCTTCTGCGTCTTATCCTAGAGCAGAGCATTACGTTGTATTGCACTCTTTTAGTTTTATACGTATACAGTATCGGTATCCTATTGGCGTTGTTTTGATGATTCATGATTGTTGATAAGTGAATGATTACGAGTGTTTTAAGTTTAATTTATAATTAGCGCATTAAATAAGAAGAAAGTAAAAACTGAAAATGAGTCAAACATCTTGCGAGCCGATACTAAGAAAACAATGGCAGAAAAAAAACGTCTGGCACTTATTATCGAAAGCGTACGGCGAATTTGGAAGAGGAAGATAAAAAACAAGCCAAATCAATGAGTAGATTTTTGTTGAAATCATCTGGTGGCGAGTCTAGTCAGCCCAAAGAAGTCACGATAGAAGACGGCAATGACGTAGGTATTTATTTATTTATTTATTTTCCAAGGAAAGATTAAAACAAGCAGAGCTGATCACAAATGGCAAACATTACGTCATTGCCGTCTTCTATCGTGACGTCATGCTTGACGAGCATTACGGCCTTTGGTTTTGCTAAAGTTTATATAATGAGTAAAAGTGTAAAAACGTTAAATTTCTGCGAATGATAAACAATCTTATATTGCAAGTATTTTTCTAACCTAAACTTATAGAAAAGTTCTTCTCAAAATTATTGGGAGAAAATTTACAAATACGGTTAAGTTCTAGTGAAAAAAAAACAATAGAAAATCATTAGACATTCAAATGATATCACTACATATTGTATTGATATCATTAGATACATAGTGATGTCAATAGATGTCTAATGATATCAAGTGGCATCATTAGAGAATCTAGTGACATTAATCACTAGACATCAGTGAACTTGAAGTGATGTCTAGTGATCTCTGTTCGTCTAGTGACTTTAGTATTGATATCATTAGGCGATTCAATGATATCATTTGGTTACTTAATGATATCATTTGGTTACTTAATGATATCATTTGGTTACTTAATGATATCATTTGGTTACTTAATGATACAATTAAGGGTGTAATGATATTAGTTCAAATCAGTGTCTAGTGATCATCTGCTACTTAATTTTTCCAAACATTAAAAAAAATTGTTTTACTAATAGTTTTACCTAAAATTAAGAACTCAGTTAATTTTTATTTATTTATGAGCTAGGAAAAAAGTAAGATTACTATGAAAATTCTAGATTTTCTTTGGATTTTTTTCAATAATACTGGTCCTGTAAGTTTTTATTTACTACATATTTTTTTAAATATTTAACTTTTAAAATTGAAAAGTAATCTCTGATTGGAAATTGTAATATACAGTAACATCATAATTTTAGTCTGGGAGGCAGTGTAGAGTATAGGTTGTAGCGTTGTAGCATTTGTATTTCCTGAATATAAGCTATACTACACATTTCAAGCAGGGGACATATGCATTTTAAAGTTGAGTTTATTTTAAAAGTAAAACTCTGAGGGTTGGCAAATAATTTACTATTACTAGTAAATACAAATACAACGTAAATTTAATTGATTTCAAGAGTAATATAACACTGAAAATATGTTAAGTCTCTAGTTTGGACTTGACTTGGCACGCTACATGCGCCACTTGCCACAAACTGGAGTCAGACCGTCAGACGACAACAATGACAACATTCAACAAATTCAACTGTCAAGTCAACGCCGGGTGGACTCAGGACTGGAAACTAAGGATCCAAGGCAACCGTAGCCGTCCTCGGCGAGTTTATTTATTTCGGTATTTATTTGCAATCAGATTCAAAATTAGTAGAGGGAAAAAATACAGATCTATGTTTGACAACTACCTATAGTTGTAGTTGAGTACGCTAGTGAAACAACTATGGAAGCTACATAAACATCAAGACTACAAGAAAGATAACCTCAAATTATTACAGTTCTGTGTCAGTTTCAATTATGTTATGAGTTGTTATTTCGTGACTGAGTATTGACATAGCCTACATCTTTTCACGTTTTAATCCTTAGAGCATGTAAGTATAAAAGTGTGATTATAAGTTAGTATTTTAAGACATTAGGCCTAGACCTTGCAAATAATAAAATACAAGAAACCTCAAAACAGGTTTTAAGGATAGTTAGGCCTACAGTTTTTACTTATGTACACCTGACCAAATGTATAGGCCTAATGTTGTATACAATCTACAATTATAGGCTAAACTTAACTTACTTAGTCTATATCAAGGCTGCACTTTACTTTACGTCCTACACTCATTCTAATGAAAATATCGGTTATTCGATTGTTTCATTCGATATATCGTTTGGTTAGTTAGGTTAGGTTAACCTTACTTAACTAACAACCAAACGATATAACTTATCGAATAATTGATATATCGATCGATATTTTCATTCGAATGAGTGTAGGACGTAAAGTAAAGTGCAGCCTATATCAATTGTATGTTGTAGGCCCATTTTGGTGTGAATCATTAAACTGCAGAACTGCTTTAATCTAAATAACTTAGAGAAAGAATTATTCTGCTCATGAATTAGGTGTTTTTAAGAGGCAAATTAATGCATTTAAAAAACCTCCTTATTATTTTAGACAAGATACCTGTGCAGTTTTGGTGGAAGTAACTGTTTGGGTGCAGTGAAGACGACTAAAAATCCTCCTGACTCCTGACAAAATTTCTGTCCAGTAGGCCTATATAAGTTGGATGGAGGAAGAATATAAGTTATTTTAGCCTATCTTTTGCAATCTGCATGAAGTCAGCTAACTTGCGTAAGTAAGTTACTTTAGCAAATTTCTCCATAGGGAAGTTATTACCGTAGACACGGAAAGGCCTAGGGATCAATTTACTTTTTCATTGTGTTGTCTCCAGTTGCCATAGCCTATTGTTCTTTGAATTTTTATACAATCTATCCATGGCATTATTAAGAATGCATATTTTTTGCTATGTAAGTTATGTGTGTGTGTCCGTAACTCGAGTAGTTTTGATCCAATTTTGATGAAATTTGATATGAGTGTCTAAAGATGACAATAGACTTGAATGAGTTTGTGAACCAGAAAGGTCAGTTTATGGGAACGGGTTGTTATAGCGATTATAAGTTTTTAGTCAAGATGGTAAAGTAAAATTAAAACTAGATTTAGGCCTACTGTACCATATCGATTAAAATTAAAATTCAAAATAAAAGGGCTTAGGCTATGCTACGTTTGATTGCTGAGCAAAAATCAGAACGGTGTAGGCCAAGAATTGCCTGCACCACTAGTAAATATTAATGTACCGGTAGGCCTAAATAACTCTGATTACTAAAAATACATTTAGGCTAACGAATAAACTGTATTAGACCCGTTGGCCACGTATTTTAGTTCTGGACCAAAATTAATTTGTGTGCGTACATGGAATGGGCCACCGCTACAACTACCTGTTATTTGTTAAATGTATTTTTGGGTAAATTGTGTCTAGTGACAGTTTTATTTTTATATTTATGACAAAGCTAGTGGATGCCTGAATATATCTGATGTGTTGACAAAAACGCATCGCAAATCAGCAGTGAATGGGATTGTCAGAAGGTAGGTATACAATTAATTTTTATTTATATTTGACATTCCAGTAGTAGTAAATGAATGACCACTAGGCAAACTTTCAACTTTTGAGTTAAAATTTTGCTATAAATTGCTGCCCAAAACCCGTTTAGTATTTAAAGCGTGGATTTCTTATTCACTCCGTAGTAAATGGTTTAGCCGAATTTTTGTTCTGGTGAGTTGACAATATATAGATTTCAAAATATTTTTGATTGGTCATTTTTTATTTTATCGGTGTATGTCTTTTCAGGACTTTTCTGTGAACGTTTTCGAGAGGAGGTCCTCCACCAACAGAAAACGAGGTGGTCCTGCGTTGTGCTGCAGTAAAAAGTTATATCTCACAAAAAATGTCGCAATCACAAAAAAATCCCAACCCTAATAGGCCTAGTTAAACACTAATTATTAAAAACAAAAGTAAACTTTATTCTGATTCTTAAATCAACATAGGCCTATTTTATTTAGCTTGGTTTCATTTTAAAGATATAATTTTTATATTGAGCAAATTCCTGCTAAACTGAAATTATGGGGATAGAACTGTCATGTACCGTGTCTGTAACTAATCTTCCGAATAGTCAGGGTTTGGTATTTTTTGTTATTGAAACCCATTTGTTTGTTTTATGAATAAAAGTACGTAGTTACTATAGGCCCTAACAGTGCAATCTTAGTCACATATTTAACTTTTTGCTACCTTTGTTACAATTTACTGATAAAAGTTTAGAAATTTGTCTCTAGAATTTTTTTTCTGCCTATATCATCACAAGTTTATGTCTGTGTAAGGGTCAACATGTTATCCTACATGACACCGATCGTGGTAAGTGTTACTTAAGAGCAACATCTTATCTTCTTGACTATCTTAGGGTGGGTAATACAATAAGTAAGTGATGTCTGACGAGATTTGGTTGCATCATTTGTCACCACCATGCCAAAATCATTAGACATCACTATGCAAAAGATCAATCAACATAACCTAGTGATACGTAGTTGTAATTGGGCCAACTAGACATCACTACGTTACCTAATGATCATACATTACCTAGTGATACGTAGTTGTAATTGGGCCAACGAGACATCACTACGTTACCTAATGATCATACATCACTACGTTACCTAATGATATCACTACGTACGTAGTGATGTCTAGTTGGCCCAATTACAACTACGTATCACTACGTATTTTTTTAATGATTCTCTAATGTTTTTTTCACTAGGGCTGGTACTGTGTCTATGAATTTATTGCCACTTGAAAAACAACACTTATTGCCTGATGAATTTAATCAGGTATTCAAACAGCTGTAACTATAAATGAAACATTTTTCATTTTTAGTTTCCAAGTAATTGTGTGAGCCCAAGGATGTATTCCAATACTTTTGTTGATCAAAAATATCACACATGCATAACAGATAGGTACCAAATATATTGTTTTGCTTCTGAGAATCTAAAATATAAAATTATAATGGTCCTAGAAACACATCTAACTACGAATTATATGTTGACAGCTGTATGGAAATTTGGTAAAAATTTTAGTTACAGCAATAGGAGATTTTCATTGTAGTTGTTAGCCTCCGGATTGCCAAATAATATTAAAAAAGGTTCAAATACCTGCTATTAAGCAATCCAAATTTGTTGTTAAAACAACTAGTTTCGGTGTCTGTGTGACACCATCATCAGGCTGCACAAGGACAGTTTTCTTTCTTCATACGAAGAGCGTCATATTTACACGAAAATAAATAAACATTTAAAGACGACACGAACACGAGACATTTATGGTAACTGATCAGTTAAGACACAGACGACGCTAACCCGGCGGAGTTTGACAGTCTGGTTAGTTAGGCAGTCTGGACTCAAACTCCGCCGGGTTAGCGTCGTCTGTGTCTTAACTGATCAGTTACCATAAATGTCTCGTGTTCGTGTTTGTGTCGTCTTTAAATGTTTATTTATTTTCGTGTAAATATGACGCTCTTCGTATGAAGAAAGAAAACTGTCCTTGTGCAGCCTGATGATGGTGTCACACAGACACCGAAACTAGTTGTTTTAACAACAAATTTGGATTGCTTAATAGCAGGTATTTGAACCTTTTTTAATAGGAGATTTTACATTTTATTTGTGATCTTACAACATTACGGTATCCTAACCAAAAACTTTTCTTTAGATTTGGATTTTTTAAATAGTATATGAGTGTTGTCACTTTCTGGTAGAATTTGGCAAGCAATACGTTAGTTACATCATCAACTAGTACATTTAAGTACAATATGTATATTTAATACTGTACAGTGGTCGTCCATGGGTCAAAAACTCGACCCTACAGATTTCTCTATTTTAACCTCACGCTTTTAATAAAACATGTGATTGTAATTTCTTCCATTTGTTTTGAATTTCTGTTTATGTTTTCTTGTTATTTTGTCACCAGCATGACAACCCATAAGGCCCATGTTAATTTTTTAAAAATTTAAAATTAATTTTTTGTGCTTTTTTATATTTTAATTTATAAAGGGATTTTGCGTACCTACAGGAAAATATCTTTCTAACAGTATGCGTAGATTTTCCCTGCGATGCACACGGGCTGAGAAAAAAGGCTTTAAAGAAACATGCTTGCCTATTAATGTATAAAATATTTATGTAAGTTAACTAATAAACTCACTCTTTCAAATTTGTGTTCTAGTTACAACACAATGCTGGAGGAAAACAGTGTCCAAGGGACTTTGTTGATATTCAGTGAAAGCACCTCGGTCAAGGATAATGAAGTGGCAAGTAAAACTACAACTATTTTTTATTTTATTTTTTAATAAGCTATCAGCGTAGTACTCATGGTAAGATTTGGACCCGGGACCAATTTACTTTTTTGTTTTGAGGTCCCTAGAGGCCAAAAACACCAACCGTTCAAATTCATATATATATATTTATACATTTATATACAGGGTGATCAACTCAATGAGGCCACCATTGGGATATCGGAAACAGTAAGAATTAGAGAAAACTTTAAATGGGGGACATTCCTTTATTTTTTGTGGCAGTTAAAAATATGATTTTATTTTTTCGAAATTCAGCCGCCATTTTCCAAAATGGCGGCCAACTTTGAAATTTCTTATGGAACACCCTATATTTTATCATGTTTTCGGATAGAACAGGCAATTTAAAAACTTTTTTATTCTTGACATTTTTTCGATAAACCCACTCGTTTAGGAGTTACAGCCTATGGAAAAATGACTTCCGGTGTACATTTTACATCATGTAGCTCCTAAACAAGTAGGTTTATAGCGAAAATTCGAAAAGTAAATAAGTCAAATAAGTCTTAAAATTGCATCCACATTCCAAAAAGACCATAAAATTCGTTAAAACTATTAATTCTATTATTTTTAAAATGGCGGCCATTTTCCAAAATGGCGGCAAACTTGAAAAGTGGAAAACTGTGTATTTTATGGTCTTTATGGAATGTGGATGCTATATTAAGACTTCTTTGACTTATTTACTCATCGCATTTTCGCTATATACCTACTTGTTTAGGAGCTACATGATGTAAAATGCACACCGGAAGTCACTTTTCCATAGGCTGTAACTCCTAAACGAGTGGGTTTATCGAAAAAATGTCAAGAATAAAAAAGTTTTTAAATTGCCTGTTCTATAAAATATAGGGTGTTCCATAAGAAATTTCAAAGTTGGCCGCCATTTTGGAAAATGGCGGCTGAATTTCGAAAAAATAAAATCATATTTTTAACTGCCACAAAAAATAAAGGAATGTCCCCCATTTAAAGTTTTCTCTAATTCTTACTGTTTCCGATATACCAATGGTGGCCTCCTTGAGTTGATCACCCTGTATATGTGTCCGTTAGCACGATAACTCGAGCAAAAATGATTTTGATGAAATTTGGTACATATAAACCTACATTATTCGAACGATATAAACCTACATTATTCGAACGAGTTCGTGAACCAGCATGATCGGACCATGGGAACGGGGGTTTATGGGGGGTTTTATGGGTAACAGTTGGTTTATCTCATTTTTGACCCTAAAAAACATAAAATTTATCAATTTCTCTCCAAACCATTTTGTAGAGCTTAAAAAACCAATAATTTAGTATATTGAAGCGTTATTATGCGCCTAATGGTTACGGAGAAAATTCCAAAAAATTTAAATTTTAAATTCCCATGTTATACTTATGGAGAGTAAGTAAACTGTTGTTGTTTGCTTGTTTATGAGCATATTTTGATCACATTTTGAAAATGCATTTATTTCATACTAAACTATTAACATTTTACAAAAGAAAAAGACTTTTTTACCCTCCCTGTTGCAGCAAATCTTGAGTACTCGTTAAATTAATGCTATTTAAAGAGGGAATAAATGTGATATTTTTAAGGAGACATTTTAGTGTAAATCCAATTAGGCAAATGGAAATTCGCTTAGTCTGCAGGTTTGCTGCGGCGGGGGTATTTAACTGTATGTAATGTGGTTATGAATAATTAAGTAGAGTACAAAATAATTATAATTATATTATATAATTATTTACAATTTTTAAAATTATAATAATTATAATTTGTGATATAGGCCTATCGTTTTTATCAAAGATATAGTTTAACCAGACTAGGGGGTGGAAAAGTTATTGGGCTTAGGGACGTTACAATGCTAAATATTCCCTGGCTATGCCCCACGGGTTTCAAAGTTTCCATGTTATTCTTATGAGTACCGGTATTCATATTTAAAAGGAATTAAAGAATTTGGCCACCTGTTTCAACTAAACAAGTTGGTTCTATGGTTTCTACCTTGGAACCCTGATGACCAGGCCATAAAATATCTTGGAGTATGGCTGGACAAAAAACTTAATTGGAACTACCACGTTAATCAAAAACTGTCCCAAGGTTATGCACGCCTTGCAAAGCTTTTCCCTTTAATCAATAGGAAATCTACTCTGAAGCCAGCTTGTACAGTTCTAATCTATAAATCAATAATTCGGCCCTTGATTACATATGCATCTCCTATCTGGGGATTAGCTATATCAAAAAACAAACTCTTCAAAATTCAAGTGATTCAAAACAAAATTCTAAGAATAGCGGTGAATGCTCCCTGGTTTGTTAGAAACAGGCATATACATGAAGAACTAGGAGTGGAGTCTATCTCGGCCTTTATTGAAAAAACCACCTCAAAATTTCTAAAATCTTTAAACGATGTTCCTGGTGCATTAACTTTTCATCTTGGTGAAGCAACTGAGAACAGGAGGCTACGTCGAAGGCTCCCTCAAGATCTATTGGAGGAATGAAGCCTAAAGAAGATTAAATTATTCTCTAAATTAATTATGTTACAGGGTGACTCAGGTTTGGGCGAACCCACGATGTTATTATAGTTAATTTCTTATTAATTTTGTTAACACTTCTGTGTATAATGTCTACATTGAACCAGAAATAAATGATGCTGTAAAAAAAAAAAGAAAAAAAAAGAATTTGGCCACTTGTTTTAACTAAACAAGTTGGTTCTATGATATTTAATAGCATTAAAAGTTACAAGGTTTACCAATAGAGGGTACATTTGGATACAAACACTTTAAGAAGCGCAATGCCTTTGTTCAAAATTCAGTCTGGGAATATTAGAATTTCGGATAGTTTATACGATGGCCGCTAGGTAGACTATCGCGAGCCCACAGCCAAGTCAGCTGACTGAGTGAGAGAGAGTGTAATCAGCTTAAAGAGAGAGTGAGATAGAGCGAGCCATCTTAGCGGTGCCCGCGCTCATTTCGGCGGCAAAATTCCAGTCTGACTATTTTGCATAAGCATTTCGCTTTTTAAAGAGGTTGTATTCATTGTTTAAATTAATAAAATGACTCTAATTAATTATAAAATAATTAATAGAAACACGCATATTTACTCAACACAAATCTATTTCATTCATGAATGTTAACAAAACAAAAACAATAGAAAAACATATGATAGTAAAAATATATATAAATTAAAAATTGGAAAGTCTTAAAGAAGTTACAACAATCTCCCTCACTATTTTCAACTGGCAGTGGAATTATGAAAGAACAAAGTCCTTGTATCGGCACGGCATTTGCCTTTGTCGCTTTGATCTCACTAGATTAACAGAAACTTCGGCATTGTTTGATTCTGTTCCCTGAACTACTGGAACCTCTGATTTGTTTGCTTTGGGAGTTGGTGGTCTTTCCGAAATTTACGGTCCTTCGGAAGTTGATGGTCTTGCGGGAGTTGATGGTCTTTCAGGAATTGACAGTCTTTCAGGATTAGATAATCGATTAAAATGAGTAGCAGCCTTAGTATTTTCCTTTGTGCTGTGTTTAGACGTCCGTGGAACATCAAATATGTGGATTGGTCCCGCACTAACAATTTTGGGTTTTGTTATCAAAGTAGACCGCAATTGATCAATGTGTCGTTTTACAAGTCGGCCTGACTTGTCAAGGGAAACTAGATAGTGTTGAGTTCCCAACTTTTTATTTACCTCTCCAAACTCCCAAAGGTTCTTGTTGTTTATGAAGAGACAAACCTGAACTCTCTCCCCCTCATTGAATGAACGTGCAAAAGGAGCATTTCTAGTTGAAGCTTTTTGTACTTTAGGAAAAATGGCATCCATTCGTATTCTTAACTTCCTGTGGAGGTAAAGTTCAGCCGGTGATTTGCCACATGCTAGAGGAGTTGCCCGGTACCACACTAAGATCTTCTGGACCTTTATTGCCATTGGTATGTTTTCCGAAGCTGTGGACTTCAGGCGGTTCTTCAATGTTTTAACAGAGCGTTCTGCTAAGCCATTTGTTGCTGGGTGTCCTGGAGATATGAATTTCTGGAAAATGCCATGCAATTTGCAATAAGCTTGGAATGTATCACTTTGAAAAATTGAGGCGTTGTCAGATACCATAACATTTGGGTAGCCGTGTGTAGCAAAAATCTGTTCAAGCAGATGTATGGTATTGGAGCTGGATGGTGCATCTTTGATTACTTTTATCTCTGCCCATTTTGACCTAGCATCAATACACAGGAGGAAGTTGAAGCCTTGAAACGGTCCTGCGTAGTCAATGTGTATTCTTTCCCAGTTCTCTTTTGGGATTTCCCACGGGTGATTGGGAACTTTGGGCGGATTTGACCGTGTTAGTGTACAATTTTTACATCCTTTCACAAGATGCTCAATGTCCTTGTCAATATTTGGCTAGTAAACATAGCGCGGTGCTAGCTGTTTCATTTTTGTGATTCCAATATGACTTTTGTGAAGTTCATTTAGAATCTTGTTTCTAAGTAGTGATGGAATGTACACTCTTTCTCCCCGGAAAATAATGTTTTCGACTAAAGTAAAGTCAGAATCAAGTGAATTGGTGAGTAGGTCTTTCAAAATCTTAGAGAGCACTGGATCTTTAGCTAACTCATTCTTGATACTTTCAGCTGTGATTTCATGGCTTGAAATTTGAAAAATGGCTTGGCTGCAGATTTGATGTACCTCTTTTCCAATTTTCTTGTCTTTAGTAAAGTGAGTTTGTGTAAGAGGAGCTCTTGAAAGACAATCCACGTTTTCTATTTTCCAGGCCCTTTTTGAACACCAACTTGTAATAATTGAAACCTGACAGATATGATGCATATCTGAGTAAACGAGCTGAAGTCATTTGTGGTAGAGCCTTGTCATGCCTGAAGATCCTAGATATGGGCTGATTATCTGTTACAAGATGAAATTGGGTCCCAAATAAGTTAGTAATAATAGAAGTGGGAGACACCAAAAACTATGGCCAATGCTTCCCGGTCTAGTTGACTATAGTTACAT